TAGGACCCGACCTGGGTGACCATTTCCTTCCCGTTGGGTTCCCGGTAGATAAACTTGAAGGCCTCCATCGTCACCTCCGGGGTAGAAGTAATCACCCGGGCCGTTTCCTCCAAGTTTTCCCCCACCCATTGCTTGGCCTTGCCGGGGAACTCTCGCTCCTTAAGCTCCAGGTCCTCCGCCAGCTTCAGGTTCTCCTCCTTCAGCTGGAGGGTCTCTGCCTTGGCCCTCCCGGCAATTGCTGAAAGATTGGCCATTTCATCGAGCTGTCGGGCTATCAAGTCCTGCAGCTCCCGGTTGTGGGCCTCGACCCCTTTCAGCTTCTCCTCCAGCTGGGATGACCGGGGAGGGGAGTCCTCGGCGAGCCTCTCCAAGGTCTCGGGCCCAACCTCGCCTATCTGCAAAACGAAACTCACCGGTTATTGCGACAAAAAGGCAACAGAATTCTGTAAAATGTACCGGTCAGAAGTTTTACCTCCTTCAGTTTCTGCCCCATCTTTACCCAGAGCTCCTCTAGCAAATCTGAGGCCGGGACATTTTCTCCCCTCCTCCTCTTGGCCGAGGGATGGGTGGTGGCGGCGTGCTTCGTCCGGACCTTCCCCTTCCCCTTGTCCAGAGGAGGGTTTGCCGTGGTCCTCCCAGCCTGACCGGTCCTCCGATCGGAAGAGTTTCCTCCTCGGAATTGATCTCCACCGGTTCCTGTTGCACCGGTACAGTTTTGGGGGCTGCAGAGGAGGAGCCGCCGGCCGTCTTAGGGATGCCGAAGGACCTGAAGTTCATATCTGCAAGACGAGTGGAAAGTTATGTGATCCATGTGTGACCGGTAATATAAAAAAAAGATTATAGTGATAGATTACCTGGGTGACTTGGGCCCCCAGCCTCCGCAGTGTCGCCCAGGGAGGGTACCCCGTGCCCCGCTGCTTCATGGGCTTGGGAGGTACCCTCGCCACCCGGTTGGGTGCGCCAGAGCCAACCACCATAGTGGTACATCTGACCGGTGTAGGGATCCCCTCTGAGAAGCTTTTCCAGACTCTCCTCCAAGTCTGGAGTGGTGTGCGGTTCGGTGAACTGGTGCTTGAGGAGATTGTCACTCTACTTCAAGCCGGCCCGAGGGTTGGCAGAAGGGGGAAATTTTATGAAGACAAATCTTTCCTTCCACAAGCGGTTGCTTTGTGGAAGGTCAGAGATAAATTTGCGATTGTTCCGTCCCTTGAAGTAGACAAAACCTTTGCAACCCGGTTTACCCGGACAAACCTCAAACATATACAAGAAGAGACGAAGAGAGGGATCGATGCGAAGATGGGTGCAGATGTTTGCGAAAGAATTAAGCAACCGGTGAGCGTTGGGTGTGATCTGCCCTGGGAGAATCCTGAAGCAGTGACACAGCTCGACCAGGAGTGGGTGGAGGGGAAAGACGGTACCACTCTCTAAGGAGGCAATATGAAAACCTATCCTATCGTCCCGGTGCGGTTCTATGATGTTGGACCAGTTCTCGTCGTACTCAAGAATATAACCCGCCGGAAGATTCCTGCGGGCCTTATTCCAGGCTATCTTAGAAACATGGGGGTAAATGTCTGTAACAAAGGAAGTAGGGAGGGGGGAGTAACCGGCTACTTCCAGCCTCTCTACCCATTGGTCCCGGGTCTCTTTATCCGGGTCATAGGGGGCTGGTTCGTCGCTGACCGGATCCTCCCTCTCCGCAAAAACCTAACCGGGCATTTGGTTCACCGGTTGAGGTTCGGGGATATTGGGTTTTCGAGCTGAGCGAGTGTCAGGCTCGGGTGAAGATGACCCGGTAGAGGAAGAGGATAGGAATTCCTCGGATGCGTAGGCATCCGAGGCGGAAATATCCTGACTATCGGAGGAAGACATTTACCGGAAGAAAGAATGGAGAATAAAGAAAGTTAAGGAAGAGAGAAGGGAGCTTACTTGACTCGGAGGGCTAGGGGGCGAGAGAAGGGAGCTTGACCGGTAGAAGCTCTAGAAATGGATTGCAAAGAGTGAGAAAGGCGATGGGGTTTGAAGCCTATATATAGGCGAGGAGAGAGGAGAAGGAGTCGACGTGGCCTCACCAGGGCGCGCCGCGTCAGGCGGCGCCATCATTGCACCTGGGGAGACAAAGGGACACTTGACTGGCCGCGCTCAGTTTCCGACACGTGTCATAACTGATACTTTTTGAATTTTGAAATTCAAAAATTTTGAGCGGGAAAGTCCAAAATTCGAATTTAAAAGTCCATTTGTAGATTTTTACTTCCCGCTTATGACACAATTGCATAACCGAGAAGTGGAGGGCTTACTGATGGGTGTATTTCACCCACGACCGGTCAAAGGGCTGGATTAGAAAGTTGACCGGTCAAAGAAGTCGAACTCGAAAGGGAGATCTGAATCGTCAGCAAAGGGGTGGCTGGTTGGCCAGAAAGTTGACCGGTACACTTCGGGTTAGTATACCGGTCAAACTACTCCATTGCCTAAATCCGTCCCCTGAAATTAGCCAAACCAACCCTCGAAGATCGCCCGGTCTAGTTTCCGAAGATCGGAGAGCGTCGGCAGGAGGAATCCAAAAGAGGCTTGGACTGATCACCAACCGCAACGTCTCTACGACCTCCTTATAAAGGTTCGGTCTTGCACTGTTCCTCCCACTAGGGGGAGCGTTCTGCTGTCCCGTCGAGTCTCGGTCAGTGAAGTGTGGTGCGGTCGTCGTATGGGGGTGCACCCGCGTGCACCAGGACGAGGGGTCGGATCATATATATGGTCTTGTAACCCTCGAATGAGGGGGATCCGAATTCACTCTCTCTAAACTCCCTTGTAAAAGCACCCGTGCATTCTCCGTTATAATATAAATTGGGCTACAGGTGTTCCACCTAAAGTCCTACCGGTCAATTTGCGTGTTTTTACCTTTCTTACTTTGCCAAATCAAGCGAACTATTCTAGACCCGGTCTAGTATAGTTTGACCGGTCACGTAATTTACACCATCAACTGTGATAATGTGATACTATACATGTACATATTACTATACATTTTTAGTAATATATATGACCATGTTTGGTAATGTAAGTTCTATTTCGAGAATAAAAACATGAAAGTCTTATTTTGGTATATTTTCAATGTTTTAGTCCTACTTTGGTCTTTCTCCTTTTTCTCTATCTCAAAAAAAGGATGAGCCCTATTCCCGAGGACCCCCTCAGACCCGCCCGAACGGTCACTGAAAGAAGGTAAATTGGATTTTAATCACAGATTGGTGACAAAAAGTAAAGCTCTAATACTTGCAGAGGCTCTATGCTTAGCATTGGTGCTTCTCAGCGCAGTTGCCAAGAATCGAACTTGGGTCTTACCCCCTTGGCACCCTTGCCTTGCTAACTACGCAAAATAAGGTTCATATTTTTTTTACAATATTTGACTAAACTTATTTTCAAATCAATATAAATAAAAATAATACAAAAATAAAAAAATAAATATTAAATATTAAAAAACTATATCAAAAGTTTCACAAAATAGGTGACGACAAGGCTATTTTATTTTATCAAATTATCATTGAAAATGTATAAGGAATGCAAATTTAGTTTGATCAATGAATAATAACTCGGGGAAATACTAAAGTAAAAGTAAAACATTAAAAATATACTAAAATAAGAATTCAATATTTTTATTTCTAAAATAGGAGTTAAAATGTATTTATAGTGTCAATCATGATCATATACATTACCAAAAGATACTGTGCAATGTCCGTATAAAATGTCGCATTACCATAATAGGAGCTCTTGTTTTGAGATAAGAACATGAAACTCTTATTTTAATACCTTATCTTATGTTTTACTCTAATTTAAGGTGATTTTTTTAATAACCACCAATTTTCTTTTGGAAAGTACATAAAAAGTCATTATCTTATTGTTAACTAGTGTTAACCCCGTGCTTCGCATGAGCTCGTATATATTCTAAATTTTTGAGATTCTATAAATATAAGTTTATTTGTTTTAGTTTTCTAATAGTGACAAAATATGGTTTAAACTGGTGGAATATATATTGGTATGTTAATTTAAAAACAAACAAATTATACAAAATTAATGGTCATCGAATTAAGTACATTAATAGTTTTAATTAATAAAATATTTTAATAAAAAGTGGATTAATTACATAATGATACATCATTACATAATGTCACGTGTCAGTTGTCACCCTTCAATTAAATCTATTCTATTCTATTTACTTTGTTAAAATATACTACCTCCGTCTCACTGTCTTTGTCCACTTTTGACTTTTGGAACTGTTCATCTAAGCACTTTGACTTATCAAATTCTCTCAATGTGTAAGCCTAAATATAGTCATGTGTGATCTTGTTTGATTTGTCTTAACATATAGATTATTAATATATAATTTCTATAATTTTTTAATATGCAAATTACAAGATAAAATGGATTAAAGAAGTGCATTGGATGGTGTGCCAAAAGGTAAGTGGACAAAGACAGTGGGACGGAGGGAGTATATGTCAATAAAATAAATAATGTAATAAGATAAAATTTTTGAAACAAAGTATTTAATTAATAATTATGCATATGTGATTAAATTTATATAATTTTTTGAAAAGTAATAGACTATAATAAGTTGTGGATAGTATAAAAATAATTTTTTTGAAAAGTAATAGACTATATATATATATATATATATATATTTATATATATATATATAGAATTTTTAAAAAATGGAAAAGTTTTATACAAATGTATTCAAAGATCTTTTAAAAAAATCTAAATGGACCAATGAATTGAAATGCGTATATCCACCTTATTATTGAATGCGCATGTGGATGCCCATGTGACATGTGACATATCAACACTACAACAAATAAACTTTACTTTACATATATACTAGTATCAACCTCGTGCTTCGCACGAGCTCACATATATTCTAAGTTTTAACATACAGAAAATAAAATAGTGCTTATTTTAAATTCTTCTATAATGATATATATATATATATATATATATATATATGTGTATATATACATACATACATACATACATACATATATATATATATATATATATAATGTGTTTGATTAATGTTATCTAACTATAAAATACTTGTATCTCTTTTGAGAGAAAATTTTAATATAATATTGATATACATGTATTAAAATTGATATAAATCTTTATTTTCAGATGTAATAAATAGGAAAATGATGAATAGTTTATTAAAAATCACATCACTCTTTATTTTTAAAAGATTAATAAATTTTATAAAATCTTTTTTTAGATAAAAACAATTATGTACAAAATATATTTTTAAATGGTGTAACACATAAAGTCTAAAATGAATACAAACATTGAATAAATATATTAAGATTTTTAATCTATATGCTCTATCCATTTCAAAAAGATTATCATAGTTTGAATGTTTTGGTAAAATTATGTAACACTTTGATTACAAATTAAATATAATTTTCATTAATTAAATGTCATAAAAATTTGATATATGAAAACAATATTTTAAATGGACACATTTTTCTAAATTTATAATATAACTAAATATAATATACTTTTTACACACTTTGTGATCAAAGCATAGAGCAACTTGACCAAAAATACCAAATTGTGATAACTTTTTTGGGAATACAAGGTTACAAATTTCAAAAGGGTTATCAAATGAAACAATAATGAGAATTGATTTCGTCAATGAAAAATAAAATAAAAATGCCAAAGAAATCAACCGAGTAATGAAAATTATATAAGTGGTATATGACCTATATGTCATGTGTCATCCTTCAACAAAAACAAATTTATTTAATTTAATTTGTTGAAATAATATATTAGAAATTAAATAACGTTACAAATTAAATATATTTTTTTTCTTTCCTCAAATAAAATTTTAAGCTATATATTGTTCTAAAGTCGATATGATTTTATTGAATTATGTGTTTTTATCAATCAATTAATATAATAATATAAATATACGGAGTTTCATATTTTGTTTCAAAAAACTTTTGATGTAGTTCTTAAATTTATAATTTTTTTATTTCTACACCAAAATCTTTAAAAAAAGTCAAATTTTTTTAAAATAGTTGTGAATATTTAAAAAAATATGTTAAAACAATGAAAAATATTTCTAAAATAATTAGATAGTGAGAACTTTATAAAAAGTTTATAAAAGAATGGTAATTTATTATTGGAAAGTGAAGGATTTATAAAGGAATTAATATTGGTAGATTTGGCGGACACATGTTAGTAGTATGCACACGTGGCTGCCACGTGAGTTAATATTGGCCACATCACATGACACGTGTCAACACTACAACTCTTGAACTCCTTTTTACATATACACTAGAATTTTAACCCGTGCCATGCACGGGGTCGAAAGAATTTATTATCAATTCTGAATTTTTTCAATGCAATATATTTTTCGGAATCAAGTAAATATATTTCTAACACGATTTTTAATCAATAAACAACAATACTAAAGTAGAATATATAATATTTGAGTAATTAAAAGTGTACTCTAGATAGTCGTTCTAATTCTAATCTTTCCAAAAGACTCTAGGCTACACAACATTTTTGGTATGGTTGTAAGGATTTCATTGTCATCTAGAACTAATATTTTTAATCATGTATTTGCCTTTACTCGTGAAACAGTAACATAAAGTTGATCATGACTAAATTTTGAATTGGTTAAATATAAAACTCTAGAGTATAACAAAAGACAATGTTTGACATTGACTTTTGTTAATAGTCATAGCAAAACATAAGACTATTGAGAATTATCTTTTCTAGAACTTAAGGGTCAGATGGTACCAAATTTATTCGAGGTATGTAAATCTTTTTTCCCAAGTCGATTTCCCAAAACCACAATGACATTGGTAATGTTCTTTTGCAGCTCATCAACAATTAATATTCCACCATTACACAATCTAGATGTTTGATCAATATTTTTCAATAACATAATTACTACCTCCTTTTTAAAACTATTTTATGGTTTTGCATCCATGAACATTTGATTTCATTAAAAAACTAACTGTTAGCTAATCATCTTCCACACCTACATTTGAATATGCTTGGCATGAAGAATCTGAACTTAAGTACTCTTTATCTCCTTCTAAAATAGGATTGGACAACTTCATTTACCATTCAACAGCCTTGAGGGCGGGTGCTAATAGTGCATTATTTTAAAACAGATTTAGTTTTCATGTTCTCTAATAGATTTGGATAAAAGGAAGTCCATTATACTCTTGAGGAGATATTTGTGTCAAGAATCAAGAAC